TGGGATGGGATGGGATGGGATGGGATGGGATGGGAGGGCTTTAATTTGTGCACATTTCACTTGGGGTGTGGTACAGCACAAAGGAAGTGCTTAATCAACATCTCAAATCTACTGATAATGTTGCCTGCATTGCCCAGCCCTACAGAGCATGGAGTCCTGGTGCTGGAGGTCTGGTGGGAATGGATATGAAGGCACTGTAAGGAAGTCAGCTGGATTCGGGATGCTGCTGCCAACTCTGCTGCCATAGGGTAGGCAGGGAGTGATGACACAGGGTGGAASTTTGGGTTAAGATGAGATGGGAAATGAGCCCAGGGAGATGGATGGATGGGATCAGSGAGAGATGCAGATAACRCTGGGATCAGTGCTGGTGAGATCTSACCTCAGCAGAGGTATCTTTGGGGCAAGAACAGACTTTTTAAAAAGACAACCACAAGCCAATGGTTTTTTAATTTTATTTTCATTTTGGAGGCAGGTTTTTCTTCTCTTGCTGGGGGCTTAGACTGCAGCCAGACCATCCCATCACAGGGCTGGTGAAGACACATCCTCACAGGGTGTGGACAAGCTTGGCAGGATCTTTCCTCTTGTGGTGTGTTTGCGTGTGAAGATATTTCTGCCCACCCTGTGGAAGTTGAGAGTTCCTGTGGGATGACCACAGGCACTGCTCCCTGCTCAGATCTGACAGTAATGGCAGATGATGGGGTGTCCCTAAACGCCCCCCAGCTTTCCTCAAGACAAGGCCCCTCTGTCCCCCGTATCCCCCCACTACCTCGTGGCTTTCCAGTCCTGCTCAAGGGACCCAGCAGCTTCACGCAGCAGCCACGTGGTGGTCAGCATCTCCTTTCCATCTGCGTCCACAAAGCACTGCCCCACGAAGGCGGTGGTGGCATCTGGGAGGAAGTGCTTACTGGAAGATCCGTGGGGAAACTGGCTGCTTCCCCTTCCCCTCTGTCCTCCCAGACACAGCTGTGTCCCGCTCCGATGGCCACACAACCACCAAAGCCTACCCTTCCCTGTGGTTCCCTCAGACAAGGGAGGATCTGTGGCATCACATCCCACATGCCCTAACGGGGTCTGAGTCCACCATGGTCACCCCAAAGACCCTGGGTGAGGAGGGCCTGCCCCATACAAGCCCAGCATTGCCCCTTAGCCCCACGCTGTGCAGGYGTTGCTGCTTAGCTGCACCAAAGCATCACCCAGCAGAATTCCTGGCAAAAGGAAATTCCCGCTGGCTGCTTGTGCAGCTCCCAGTGACACCGCTGTCCATCCCCGGGTGTCCCGGCACTTACTGGAGAACCTGTCCCAGCGCACAGTGAAGGCGAAGGTGGGCCAGCCCCCCTCTCCAAGCTGCTGCTGGGTGCCCTTGAGGGGGGAGATTTGGGCACAGCCCCCAGAGAGAGTGACTCGTGTGAGGTATTGTCCCTGGAAGTCGCCGTTGTCCCTCGACACGGAAATCTCCATCAGCGAGTCCTGGTCATTCCTCCACAGTCCATTGAGTTGGCACTGAAGGAATACAACAACTCTGTCCCCACACACAGGGACCCCATCCCTGCTGCTGCCCCACACCAGGAGCCACAAGCCCTGCATGGGGGCATGGCTCCTCCTGACCCCATTTCGGGGAAATGCTGCCCCGGGGTGCTGCTGGCTGCTGAGAGGGTGCTGGAGCAAGGCCGGTGTGTCTCAGCCCTCCATGGATATTCCCAGAGAGTCTCYATGGCAGAGGATGCCCCATGCATGCTGCTCCCAGCGCAAACCCCAAGGGAAGGAATGCCCTGTACACGATTGCCCTGCCACGGGATTAAATCTTTGTGTAGGTGGTACCGGTGTCTGGGGGGATCCAGGGGTACCTTGCCCGTGCCTGGAGTTGGTGCTTGCAAAATTGTCTTGTTTGTCTAAGCCTCAAATGTAATTTAAGAGCAAGCTCCTGGCTGCCTACACAGCATCCCCGTGCCATGTCTGCCACGCTCCCATTGTCACCATCCCCGTACCTTCCTCTCTGCAGGAGCAGCACCCTCTGCCAGGGCCAGGGCGAGGAACAGGATGAAAGCGCCGCTCCTCATGGCTGCGGACGCCCGGCACAGCTCCCACCCTGCCCTGCATCCCAAACTCCTTTATAGGGCTGTAACCGGAGCCGTGACGGGAGGAGTGTGCCCGATGTCAGAGTGCCCAGGCCAGGTGGGGTGAGGAGGTCTGCGTGACCTGGGCAGCGCTGGAGGAACGCGGGGATGAGCACGGCCGTGCCGGGAGTGGGGATACAGGGGTGATTTACACATCCACTGTTCCCTGCTCGGAATGAGCACGGCCGTGCCGGGAGTGGGGATACAGGGGTGATTTACACATCCACTGTTCCCTGCTCAGAATGAGCACGGCCGTGCCGGGAGTGGGGATACAAGGGTGATTTACACATCTATCGTTCCCTGCTCGGAGTCCTGCGGGCGGGCCCGACCCTGTCCCATGCCGCTGACCCGGTGCTGCCACCTAAACACGGGCTGCAGCAAGCGCAGTCCGCCCCGCTCTGCCCCGCTCTGCTCAAGGGCTGCGTGTCTGCCAACCCCGAAACATCCYCCCTGCATTATCGGTGTCTGCTGCTCTTTTAAGCTGTTTTTCATCCTGGCTGCGCTGGGCTTTCCTTGGATTTGGGAAGCCAGGAAAGTTCCTGCTGCTAAGACTGTCACCGCAGCAGGAACTCTTGAATCAAAGTTTCTTCCAAGTGCCGAAGAGCTTTCCYGGAAGATATGCAGATGTTAAAATTYGCTTGTCCCTGCGGGAGGGAATGCCCTGTCCGTGGTGCCTCCCCAGACACCGTGGGAGGACGCACCACACGAGTGATGCTTTGAGACGGGGCAGTGCCCTTCCCAAGGGGCTTCTGATGCTGTGAGACTGTAATGGGGACTCACAGGTGGCCAAGGTGCTCAGACTGCCTGGGCTTTGCACAGGGACATGGCACAGACACATCCTCTAGGACACCACTCAAACCAGGAGACTGAGCTGCCRATGCTGCTGAGGAAGACAGAGGCAGCATCTGGCTGTGTCCAGATAGTGAGTGACCTCTCTGGCCCCTGCCCAAGCACAAGGGATGAGATCTGCTTTGACAATCCTCATCTTTCCCAAGCTTGMGGACAAGGAAACCCATTCTTCTCTTCCTCAGGATCTGGCAAAGCCTATGTTCAAATTGCACTTTGTTTTTGATCAAAAATTATGGAGCTGTGCTCAGCTCCCATCCTGGGGATTTTCTCCAGAAGCCCTTGGGATCCTGACACCCCTCTCCCTTGCTTGCTGCTCAGCTGGCTGTCAGCACCCAGGGTTCAGCAATCCCCCTTGGGATCCATCAGAACCCACAGGTGTAGCCCCATTAGCAAGTGAGGATGGACAAACACCCTGCAGCCACCCACTGGCCTTCCAGCCTCATCAGCCTCATCTGGCCTGATCCTCATGGTCCTCATGGTCCCTCAGTCCTCATTTCCTTTCTGTCCTCATCCATGAAGCATTGGTCCATGGAGCTGGTGATGGAGTCTGCAGTCAGTGAAGGGATGGGATGAGAGGGAGCTGGGATGGGGCTGGCCCTCTTAGGCAGCCAGTTTGTCAGTGGGAAAGGCTGGGTGATGTTTCCCTCCCCACTTCATGTCCTGCTGGGATCTGAGGCATARCATTGAGCAGGCRTGGGATGAACAGGGCATGGGAGGAKCCCAGCTGAGCTGGACAYMACAGGAGGGGCAGGTAAACACTGAGGACATCTCAGTGCGGAGCTGGGGAGCTCTGAGGACACAAGAGGGAGACTGGGGAAGGAGAAGCATCTGAAAAGCTCTAGCTGACAGCTGAAGGTGGGCTGGCTCTTCTGGGTCAGCATGTGTGTCACCTGGAACAGTGACAGCCAGATCTCATTCATGGCATGTGGCAGAGGCCCGTGAAGTTGCCTTTTCACAGCCAAAATGGCCACATTGGAGCCCAGGTCACTGACCCACAGCCTGGGTGGAGCAGGGTGGCAGGAGTGAGTGACCCTCTGAGCCAAGTAGGACAARCTGGACACGCTGCAGGACCCTCATCCATACAAGGATCTAATACTGACAGATGTGAGGAGCTCAGCTGCAGGATGGACATGCAGAACAAATCTGGCAGAGTGCCCTAATTCTAAACCAGCCCCAGAAAGTACTGAAAATATAACTGAGGAGCTCCTCCATTCTCTCAGGATGGCAGGCCRTGCTTGGCAAGGCTGCAGCTGGAGCTGGGCTGTGAAGGGAGGCAGAAGAACAGAGCACAATGTGTCATCCTGACCAGAGGACCACACAGAAATGGTGGAGGGGATGGGAGCTATGTGCTCTTGCTCATCGGTGAAGTTACAGCTGGAAAATCAAATTCACCCTTTTGCCATGGCTGCAGAGTGGCCGGGTACCCGACTCTGCCTGTGCACCACCCAAACCCAGCCAGGGAGTCCCTTGATGAGCTCAGAACTCCTTCCTCCATCTGTTTAGGTAGGTGAACAGCTGCACTGAGACAGATGTTGGGCACCCAGATGTTCAGTGTTGAGACATTTACAAACGGTCGGCAGGAACAGGCCCTGCAGAAACGGTTGTGTGGGACAGCTTTCCGCATGTGGTTAAGACATGTGAGTGCTGGAGGAGCCCTGCAATGGAAATTCCTTCTCCATTCTAACAGTGACTATCTGTTTAAAGGGATTTGATCCTTATGCAATCATCACTTCATGTTAAAATCCTAATAAATTTCTTTTTCTTTTTTTTTTCTTTTTACTTATACACCATGTGTGTGAGCACCTGTGCCACACAGACAAGTCCATGTGGTTGCAGGTGCCTTCTGCCTCTGCCRGCTCCCCCTGCCCCTGAAGGCATTCACAACATGTGAATGACCCCGATCAAGGCTTGTCATGATGCAGAAATAGCCGGTTTTCCTCGCAGAGGAAGGTCTGAAGGGGAAGTTTTCCTTGCTGATGAGGCCACGCTGGAAAGAAATGGTGMTGGGTTTGCAGAGCAGCACCATGAGCAGGTTTGCAGCTGGATAAAACCCAGTGCTGATGGATGCTGAAGGAAACATCCTCACCTTCAGCCRCTCCCAGATGTCTGCAGGCACCCCAGCATACCTTGTCCAAGGTGTGCCAGGGATGTTTCACAGCCTTGCTGGGTGTCCTCATACAGGGACTGACCTTACAAACAGCTCTGCCAGCTCATGCCCACCACATTTCTCACCAGCACCGTGGCTGCCTGCAGGGGTTTGCAGGATTCTCCAGCTGTGCTCAGCACTGCTGCCTTGTTGGAGTACCCCAGGAATGCTGCACAGCCTCTGGAGAGCCCTGCCCTGGGGAAATGTTGTCGTGAAGGCAATAAAAAAGTCTGGTGAATGCATGCAGTGAGGCTGAAGGCTGAGCTGGCCACGCTTCAAATGAGAGCAGAACGCCCTGGTCTCTCTGCCTCTCACTTTCACAGGTCTCAGCCTCTTCTAAAGGCACATAAAAGGCTGTGCAGACACGTGTGTGCATAGCAGAGGGCTGCTGCAAAGCCATTCTGGTCAGAAAGGCTGCAAGGGAACAGAAAACGCTGGGGAATTGCCAGCGAGGCACAGCAAAGGGAACAGCAGCGCCGCTCTAGAAGCGGAACATGAGCCCCAGGGAGAAAGAGGTGAGAAGAAAACCACATGYGAGTTTGCAGCAAGGCAGGCTGAAACACCGAGCAGGCAAACTTGCTAAAGCCACAGATGCTGTTAGCAAAGCTCTCCCACACAACAGCATTCGYGGCAGAAAAGCCAGGGGAACAGCGGGGGGTGGCAGCCACAGCAGCTCAGTCCTACATTTAAGTTCCTCAAATCCCAGGCAGTGTGCCAGCTCAGGGCACGCAGCACTGTCCCGGGTTATTTTGAGAAGCAGAGACATAAGGACTAAGTTTCAGATTCAGACACAGAGCTGATTTCTTGGAAATCATTTGCTTTGGCTTAGAGGGGTGCCTGAGGCAGCACAGCCCATTTTGGTAAGTCACATAGTCAGTGGGCAGAGATTTGAGGCTGTGTTTGCTGTCCATGGCTTTCCAGTAAATCACACATTTCCCGGGAAGAGTTTTGGGCTGGATGTACTGCAGCTACTGGCCCCGTGTGGCTGGTACAGAGCAGCCCTTGACACTTTTCAGCATTATGGACACAGCTGAGACCCCTCACCTGTCTGCTTGAGGGCTGTGTCAGAGCCAGGGGTCTCCTAGCCAGCTTTTTGGGGTGCAGAWCTCCCCAGTTTACCCTCCCATCACACTCCTCAGGCTTTCAGCAGGAAAGAGTGAGTGCTGACCACRCTTAGTGTCAGAGAGTTACTTTGGGGATGTACCATCCTGTTTGGGCTGGAAAAGAGCTTTCTTGGGGCCAGTCTYGTCCCAGACTAAGTCAATGAAAGCTTCATCCCACACCCGTCACAGAATTTTCAGGATATATCCACAGACCGCACAAGATTRTGTTAGAAAATATCTTTAATTTTATTTAGTGTTTTTTAAGACAACTTCTCCCAGCAGATAACACCAGGGCTTGCTGTTACACWCTGATCCTGCTGAGGGGACTCCTGTCTTCCAAACCTGGCTAGAACGAGATRCTTCTCCCTCCTTTCAGCCCATTCGAGTGAAGGTGTTGCGGCCAGTCCTGTGGGGAAGGAGTAGCCAGTTGGCACCTGGCTGGCAGAGGGGATCCCAGATGGATTGGGGGTACCTTGGCTCACCTGGTGGCTTTCCAGTCATTTGGCTCAGCGTCCACTTTCTCCCTCAGCAGCCAGGAGGTGTGCAGAACCTCCTTCCCATCGCCCCCATTGAAGCACTGACCCACGAAGACAGCTGTGGAGTCTAGAGCAGTGGTGGTTGTTAGCACCCCAAAAAGGGCCCCAGATGATTTTGGAGCTTCACAAGCATCAGTGGGTTCAATGCTCATGGAGCCCRAGTGGATCTTGATATTTGCAGGGAAATGCTGTGTGGCAGAGAGGCTTTCAAAGCAATTTTGTGCTGCCTCACACAAAGCTTGTCTTGGGAGGTGTCCTGCTGTCTGCAGACACCATGCAGAGTGGGGAGAGATCAGGGAAGGAGTGACAGGGGACAGGAGAGAGAACAGAGGGATTGGAATGGGCATTGGGAGCCGCCTGGCTCCTCTCTCCATCTCACCACCCCATCCAGGAACAGCCATCACACAGCTACAGACCTGAGAACTTCTTCCAGTTGACAGTGAAGCCGAAGGTGCACTGACCATCCTCATCCAGGTGCTGGGAGCCAACCAGTGGGGATGGCTGGATGGGTTTCATGGCACTGGACACAGCGGTGTGGTACTCTCCAGAGAAGGTGCCGTCATTTTCCACCTTGAACACTTGCATCCTGGAGCCCAGATCGTTCTTCCACCATCCAGTCAGGTCACACTGCTGGGGATGAGCATTCATGTCCCTGGGGGCTGCCTGCACACAGCCCCTACAGCCTGAGCCCCCTGCCCTCAATCCCCGATGCCCACGGGATTCTGGCACTCACCTTGACATTCTTTGTGCTTTTCTGTGGGAGAGACAGACTCCACCAGCTGCTCTTGGTTGCCTTTTCCTCCGTCTCASTGGCCTTTTTCTCAYTGTGGGGCTCATTTCCCTGGCAGARRAGCTTGGTAARGAAAGTTAAAACACAGGTCAGGCTGTGGATGGTGGCACTGCAGTTTCTGGAGTCCCGCAAGTGCTTGAGCACTCATTTCTAGAAGACATTATTTATAAAGTCACTGCTATCGCAGCCGTGTGAAGAGGGATGAAAGCTGGTGTAGTTCAAGCAAAGCTGAGGGGTGAAGAGTCTAAGCTAAAGATGGGAGCCCTGGACAGACAGGAACATGGGTGAGACCCCTGCTGCAGCCCTGGCAGGTGAGCTGGGTGAGTCCAGGGCACATCTGCCCGTGTTTGTGGGGACCTGTGCTGTGCTTGGCACACGTGTGCACGATGGGGGAGCTCACCGGGGTGGGCACAGCCCTCAGACCCACGGTGGGCTCCGTCTGARCCAGAGCCCTGCCCACCCCACCTGCCAGGCTCTGCTCAAGCTCTAAGCACTGCCTGCTCTCTCCAGGCTGCACTGTTCCGGACAGGGGCGTGTCACCCCTCTGGGGCAGGGTCCCCATGCTTTCCTTGCTCCAATTCTCCAAGACCCTGGCAGGGAAGCGGGGGGTTTACACAGGCATGCCCCCTGCACCAGCGAAGGAATCCGCACACACAGACGTCCCGGGAACACGGACAAGCCTGGAGSATCCCTCCCCTCCCTCGGCAGGGGTCCCGTCGGGATACCGGCTGGAGAAAGGGACCCTCCTGTCACCGAGTATTCCCCCCGCAGTTGGATCTTCCACGCGTGTCCTACCCCGAACAAGCGCCGCCCTTGAGTCTCCCCTCATGTCCCTCCCGGAACACCGGGACTCCCACACAAACTTCCCCGGAGCAGAGTTTCCCASACGTGTCTCCCTGCAGGGCTCCCACCTGGAAGGTCGCCGCGGTGGTCGCCATGGACACCCCGACAGGCAGGGCGAGAACGGAGAGGGTCCGGCGGCTCATCGGGATGCAGCTCGGGATGCAGCGGCGGCGGCGAATCACGCCGTGCCAGTGACGTCCGGAGTTTTATTTTTTGACTCCGTCGCTGTTTTCCGGGAAAGCCCCGGGCGGGACCTGAGGGTGGCAGAAGAAAGAACAGGGTGAAGGAAGAGAACGGAGACGGGGGAACAGGGACAGGGGTGGGAACGGGGACAAGGGCAAGGATGGGAAAAGGGCTGGGGACAGAGGAGAGGAAGAGATTGTAGGGAGTGATGGGATGGGAAGGGGAATTGGTGTGGGGATGGGGCAAGCATGAGGGATGTGTGCAAGGATGGGGAAGGGAACAAGGACAGGGATGGGGTGGAAGAAAGAGTGGGAGGGATGGGGACAAGGATGGGGAATTAGAAGCAGGGATGGGGATAGGGATGGGCACTGGAACAGGGATGAACATGGGGTTAGGGGTGGGCTGAAATAGGGATGTAGGAGGAGTTGTCCCACTGACATCATCCAGCCTCGGGGTCCTCAGCCCCATGTCTACTGGGGGACAAGGGCTGGGTCTAMGTTTCCATCCTGCCCTGCAGGAGCTCCTGTGTCCCACAGGATCCTCTGGTCACAGCCAGGGATGGATAGAGGGACAGAGAGTCATAAGGGCTGGGTAAGGTATGTGTGTTGGGATAGCAGGTGATGGGCGGTGGGTCCAGGGATTTGGAAGATGAAGGAAGCAARCCTGCCCCAAMAGCAGRAGKAAAACCTCTAGGTAGGACATCGCACGATTGCATTATTGCATAATTGGGCATTGCAGGCTGGAGGTGAACACCCCMGGTTTCAAGTACCAGGCAGGAGGAAAAGCCAAATGAAAAGGCAACAAAAGGACAGGATCACATCGAGGTCAGGGACAGGATGTGGGACAGCTGATGAACACAGACTGATACAGAGGGGGGTGGAGCTCCCAGGGCCGATTTCTTGTAAACCCTACAGTTTTACTTTCAGTTTCTCTATTAACTAAGCACAATGCTTGCATAATYCTCTATCCTGCTTACTGCCTTCTGCAAGCCCAGGAGCCAGGGAATTTGCAGCTGTAGGAGTAATGAAGGGACAGAAATTAAATCTTATGCCCTGGGCCCACACTGTTCTCAGTGGCCTCGGGTTCCACKGCTCAGGACGCCCAGCCTGACCCCCCCACTTCCTCTGGGGTCCCAAGGCTTTAGCCTCAGAGAGCACTCAGAGATATCTTTGAGTGTTTGTGGTGCTGGTGACAGCCACAGTGGGTGTTTGGGGAGGAGGAGCAGGAGAATGAGCCCAGCATGACCAGGGCAGTGCCAAGGATCATGGGGATGAACTGAGGGCTCTATGTGGAATGCAGGGGTGAGGATGAGGGTGCAGGGGTGGCTTTTGGCCAAAGCTGGATCACCAGCCATATCAAACAATTGTGTTCAGTCAGTTCAAGTATATCCTGGACAGTGGCAGCTCCTGAGCACCTACCTGTGGTGCTCAGGAATAGGAGTTAGGGGCTKTGCATTGTGGATTAGTTAACTAATGAGCTGCAAACTTAATGAGRTGCTGAAATGATGGGTTATTGAGGACAACTATTAGATCAGTGCAAAGGGCATTGGTCCTTGTTTGATTTGTTTCCTTTCCTAACGAGCTGATAAAATAAAGTTTAATGTTCAGATAACATCCTGTGAATCTGAGCACCAGAACGGATCTGTATCCTGTTCCACGCCCTGGCTGATCTGGTGGCAGCCAGTCAGTGGGAAATACATGCACACCTCTGTGTATAGAGCAGATGCACCTTCAGTGTCAGGCTTTAGCCACCCAGTTTGCCCAGTAGCCCCTCTTGGAGCTGCAGATCTCTCTCCTGGTCCTCTCAGCATCCAGCCTGGACTCTGGACAACCCCAATATCCCAGATTCCCTTCTGTGGGTACTGGCCACCAGCTCTTCCCCAAATGTGCACACAGTGCTGAGACTCCCATACAGAGCAGCATCTGGAGTTTGTTGGGACAGTGGGGCAGAGTGAGGTGAAGAGACACAGCACGAGGCCAGGTGAGAGTGCTGGCTTGCCTGCTTGCCCTCAGCTGTGGGGTATCCCGCTGCTCTACACTGGAGCCACTCACCACAGGACCCCTGTGAATGTCCCAAATRGGTGCACAGGCAAAAAGACACCTGAGGGCTGAAGCCATGATCAGGAAGCAGAATTACCCAGCTGCTGTCCTCCAACCCCATCTCTCCCAGCCCTTCCAAAACACTTCCCTGTGCTCCACCCAGCAGCACCTTGCTCTGCCCATGGCTGCAGAGTGGCTGCTGGTATCCCAGGGACACAGGGGACACAGCTCTCTGTTGTGTGGAGAAGGTTTTATTTGGCTCCAAGTGTGAGTGTAGCAAGTGTGGGAAGGGGGAGCCGCACCAGCAGGTTGCTGGGAGGCACTGGGAGAAGCAGGGCAAGGTGAGGGTGTGTTTGCTCGCCAGGAGAGCGAGCTGGRACTGGGGCAGTGGAGAGAGTTGGACATGCAGGACAGCAGGGTGTGGGCAGCTCTGGTCCCTGTTCCCATCATTTGACACGGGTGAAGGTGGAAGTGCCAACCCTGCAGCGAAGACATGTCAGCAGCAGGGGAGGGGGAGGGTGGTGGGGTGAGGTGGCAGGGGCAGAGCTCACCTGGTGGCTTTCCAGGTGTCCTTGAGGGATGGGACCTCTTCTCGCAGGAGCCACGTGGTCTCCAGGGTCTCCTTCCCACGGTGATCCACAAAGCACTGCCCCACAAARGCAGTGGTGGAGTCTGGCAAGGTTTGAGAGAGGCAGAGCAGGGTGAGGGCCTACCCCTCAGAACAGGGAAACCTGGCCCACCTTACTCTGGCAGCCAAACAGAGAAACAGCACCCACCACATGCCCTGGGCAGAGGGATGAACCTCTCTGCCAGCTTGGCCAGGTGGACAGCTTCCACATCACCTGGACAGAGAGCTGGKCACCAGCCCTGCCGTGTCCCTTGGACACAGAGATGGACACGGCCACCACCTCTCCCAGGCAGCCCCATCACCCACTGCAGAGAGACAGCTCTCCCACCACCACTTCCATGGCAGGAATGAGAGTGTGTGGYCAATCTGCCCACAGCCAGGGCTCCCATGGGTGCCATTGGGGATTTGGAGTACCAGCCAGTGGGCTCCCTCTCCCAGAGTGATCAGGGGATCACTGGCACTGCTGTACCTGAGAACTGCCAGTGCACAGTGAAGCCAAAGGTGGGCTGTCTCTTGGCACCAGGGTGCTGCTGCACTCCTTGCAGGGGTGACACCAGGATCTGCTTGTTGGTGGCTGCCACTGCAGTGTGGTAGGAGCCCGAGAAGGTCCCAGCCGTGTTCAGAGCCAAGACAGTCATATTGGAGCCCAGCTCATTCCTCCATAGGCCCTGCAGGTCACACTGGGAACCAGGAGTTCTGTGGGTGGCTCAGGCAGAGCTGAGTCACAGTCACCCTCCAGCCTCCCTAAGCACTGGGATGCCCATCCCATGGCACAGCCCCTCTGTATGGCAGCTGGGACAATGGCATGGGCACCAGCTGGGAAATCACCCCTACCTCTCTGGGAAGAGCAGGGCAGAGCTGGGGGTGCTGGGTACCCCCCTATTGCAGGGGTAGGTGACAAAGAGTATCCCCAGGGACAGCACAGCCAGAGCTGGCAGCCTCCTTGATCATGCACACTGTCCCATGGGATGCTATGGCATGGAATGGGATGTGGTGGCTGAGATGGCACAGCAGGACACAAGAGCAGACAGACACTGCGTGCTGGGGTGTCACAGGATAGCACGGCAAGCTGGAAACATTCAACCCCGTCAGCCCTGCACACTGTGTTCCAGGGGTGGCACAACATGGCACAGGACAATGAGGCACAGCATGGCACAGGACAGTGTGGCACAGGACAGCCTGGAGCAGCACAGCACGGCACAGCATGGCCCAGAAAGCACAGCAGGAGCATCCCCAGTGCAGCACAGGGATGGCACAGCCGGGGTGTGCGGCCCCTCACCCTGCAGCCCGGGACAGAACAGCACGGCTCGGCACGGCTCGGCACAGCCAGTCCCTGCCCCAGGGCTGCCCTTACCTTCCTGGACGCAGCGTGGCGGGGCTCCAGCAGGGCCAGGGCGAGCAGCAGGCAGCAGCCCAGGGTCCCCATGGTGCAGGCAGCGGTGGCCGTGCGCGGTGCCCCCRGGCTCTGCCTGCGCTGCCGCCCCGAGCCCGTCCGGCCCCTTTTATAGCCCAGGGGCTGTGGCCGAGCAGCGGCCGCCCCAGCCGGGCCTCCTGCCAAAGGACACCCGGTGGGAGAGGGGAACCGGCCCCTGCTCCGGGCTGAACGGGCTCCCGCTCCCCTGGGCCGGGCGGGGGTCCCACGGACCATGGTGGGCTCAGGGGGCTGCGAAGGAGGACTCTGCCATGGAGAGACACGGCAGGGACGCACATCAGGCCTCGGGTATGGTGACAGAAGGGACCGTAGGACACCGTGGGGGTATTGGGAATGTGTGTGCTGAGCTGTGACAGAAAAATTGGTTTTGATACCTGGTGCATAACAAGCCAGTAATTTCACACACAAGAGAGACACTGATTATTTATTTCAGAGTTTCACAAGCCTGGGCCCTCAGTGTTATTCCAAAGACCATGCACACAAACTATCAAAACATTTTGCTATTTACACATTTTAGCAAACAAAAGCATCAATGTTCCTTTTGCTAAAAGTTATTAATTTCTCTTATTAATTACAATTCTCTTTCCTATTGGTTAAGGATTCTCTTGTATCTCATGCTAATTAATCTGCAGGCTCTGCCYTTCTCTTCTTTTGAGTTGGTGAGTTTCTTGACTCAGTGGGCCATAAGTCACAATCTGCCSCTGCCAGAATTTACCTTCTACCCTGTCAGAGCCAATTCAGCACTGAGTTGTCGCTGATGCAGTTCTATTTGTTTTTTCTTATCTTGGTGGTTTTGCCAAATGTCCTGTAAATTCTGCACCCTTTGTGTCTGTTACCAGTGGTCCATCCTTCATCCCAAGCTTTGTTAACCTCCACCCAGGTCTGAGTTCACTGAAGCCTTTCAAGACCTRAACCTTAACAAGRCAATTCTACTAAATAATATCTCTAACACCTGGACATAGCTTAGAGCTTGTTAGCTGCTCTCTGTTTCACAGTTTAAATTTCCTTTCTTGGTCATTAGGCTCAAAAGCATAGAAAGACCAAACGTCAAAGAACATGCCTTCTTAAGAAATTTTTTACTTATCCCACATATTGCAACAACATGACAGGAGACTGTGAGTATTTGCAGCAAAGCTTTATTGGGAGAAGCAGGTGGTGGGGCAGGAGCAGGGGCCACACCCCTGGCACTGCCTCGGAAATGGGGATCCCCTCTTTTCCACTCTCACTGCTGCCACTACAGGCGGGTGAAGACGTTGATGCCAACCCTGCAGGGACACAGAGGGGGGAGATGTAAGGGAGGGATGTGACAGTGTCCAAACACCCACCCAGCCCCGTATTCCCCYACTGCAGCTGCACCTTGGCAGGACTCCAGGGGATGTTGTTTTTCCTCTGTATATTTTACCCAAGCACAAAGCAATTGCATTTTAAGTCGCGCCTTAGCAAGCAAATGTTAAACCTGGTTTTGCCCACAGCTGTGAGAGTGACTCCCAAGTGACCTAAAGCACTCATTTGTGACCACCCGAACCCCTCATGGGTGTACAGGTGACCCGTGCAGGGCAGGGGCAGGGGGCTCACCTGGTGGCTTTCCAGTCATTCTTGATGTTCTCCACACGTGATCTCAGCAGCCACATGGTCTTCAAAATTTCCTTCCCATCTTCATCCACAAAGCACTGGCCCGTGAAAACAGTGATGGAGTCTGTGGGGACAGGACAGGAGGCGGAGGGAGCATGGCTGAGGTGGCAGGTCAGTGTCTGCCCCAACACAGGGGACACCAGACACCTGCTGTTCCTGGCCTCTGGGGCCAGTGGGGGTGGGGAAAGAAGGCAGGAGGGCTCAGAGGGCTGGGGGTGTCACATGGAGATGGRCAGACAGGGCAGGCTTCAGCCCCTGCTGCATCTCCTGCAGCCTGGGACCGGGAGCTGAGAGCTACAAGGAGTTCCAGGGACACCAGAGGGGAGGTAGAGCAGTGGGAGTAGTGCAGAAGGCAGGGAATCAGCAAGGGCACTGCAGAGAGGGCAGAAGAGTTCAAGGGCATCACAGGGAGAGTAGGGGAGGTCCAGCATATCATAAGAAGGCTGGGAAAGAAGTACCTGAAAAGCTCCAGTTGACAGTGAAGCCAAAGGTGGGCTGGCCCTTGTGGTTAGTGCGCTGCTGAGACCCCTGCATTGGTGACTCCTGGATCTCGTTGGTGGTGGCTGACACAGCTGTGTGGTAGGAGCCCACGAAGTTGCCATTTGCATTCACAGTCGTGATGGTCATGTTGGAGCCCAGATCATTGACCCAGCGCCCGACCAGATTGCACTGCAGATGAGGGAACTCAGCACTGGTGCCACAGCACAGCCTGCAGCCACAGCCCCCTGCCCACCCTGCCCACCCTCTCCTGTGCATCCCACCCCTGACTGTACCTTTTTCACAGTGGCACTGTGAGCCCCCAGGGCCAGGAAGAGCACCAGGAGGAAGGGAGTTGCTCGCACCATCTCTGCAGAAGACAGACAGACAGCTGATGTACCTGGGGATGTGCTCCTTGCAGGTCTCTGCTGATGCTCCTGCTCCCTTCTCCTTTTTATTCCTGCCAGGGCTGTGGGTGGCAGCTCTGGCCAGGGCATTGTGCAATCTGGGTGTTTCCAAATCTGTGGTTCCCAGCCATATGAGGGGGTAATTGCAGCAAACATTCCCAGAAGTGAGTGCTCAGAGTGTCCCTCTTTGCTCTCCTGGCACCTTGCAGGGAGGGCCTGGCTCCTGCTCCTCAGTGGCTACTGGGAAACGATCAGCAGGGAAAACCCCTCGCTGGAGCTGTTGTCCATTCTGTCACATTCTGTCCACTTGCCAAATCACATCTGTGTTCTAGTGTTGAGGATACTTAACCTTGGTGATCTCAGGATTGGCTGCAGCACACGGCTCACCCTCCTCTTCCTCACCAGGCTTGCTCATGCCAACCGACCCACCACCCAGATTCTTTTGGGATTTAGCTTCCACACCCCCCCCCATGCCCAGTACTGATCGCTCTAGAAAGGTCTGACGTGAAAGCTGGCTGCTGTTTTCATAAAGTGGTTTGTCTTGGAAGGAAACTATTTAGTTAATAAAAAGCCAACATTCACTGACTATCTTGGACATTGGATTTTAATGGTGACAAAAGTGATATTTACGCAGAGATTCTTAAACAACCTTAAGTACATATTTGTATCATTTCCCTTACGTTATACTTGTTGCTGGCCAGGGAGGCTGAAGTGAATGGATTCAGCCCAGAGCTTCTCACCCATTTCTAAATGATTTTCAAGGCAGTCTCCTAAACTACATGTTTTATTTCCTCCAGTCATCACAACAAAAGCTGATGGAGCCTATTCACAAGAAAATAATCCTTTTTGCGGACTGGACACAAGGCAGCTCTTTGCAGCATCTCAAAAATACTTCCTCAATCTTTGCTTTCTCTTCAATTTCACATTTGAGCCCAGTTTTCTCTGTGACAAAAAATTTCATTGCTCTACAGGCTGGGGAGCATTGTGTTTCTGCTGCTGGCATCTCCACACTTCCCTCTCGTCCCTGCAGGAGCCTGCAGCCCTCTTGCACCCCGCCTGGAAGAGATCCCTGTCCAGAGACCTGGCTGCCAGCCAGACATTCCTGCCTCAGTGTTTGCTGTCTCGGAAATCAACTGCATAACAAGGTATGTTTTCCCACATAGCTGCTGTTTGCTTTGACTGTTTTTTGGCAAGCAGGTGCTGTCTGGGACACGGCCAACGTTTGGTATAACAAGTAAGGTCAGTGTGGGAAGATTGCAGGGGGTAGGAGTGGTAGACATCACCCCCCCCCTCCATCTCCCCTCTCCATCACCCCTTTCCATCACCCCTCTCCATCACCCCTCTCCATCACCCCCTCTCCATCTCCCCTCTCCATCACTCCTCTCCATCACCCCTCTCCATCACCCCTTTCCATCACCCCTCTCCATCACCCCCTCTCCATCACTCCTCTCCATCACCCCTCTCCATCACCCCTCTCCATCACCCCTCTCCATCACCCCTCTCCATCACCCCTCTCCATCACCCCCTCTCCATCAGCCCCTCTCCATCACTCCTCTCCATCTCCCCTCTCCATCACCCCTCCCCATCACCCCC